TTTGGCAGGCGTCGGGGCAGGGCCTATAAACAGATGGTGGACAGTCTGGTGACCGAGCTTGTCTCCTTCTATCAAGGGCAGTGGCCCTGCTACCGGCCCGCACCGCCCTCGGGGACGAAGTGGCACACCTACTTTGGCGTTGATGAGATACAGGGCAAAGTTCAGGACAAGTTCGCCGTCTGGTTCGCGAATCACTTGTTTTACGAGTACTTGGGCAAGGTAGACCAAGTGATGCTGCGCCTGGACGTCGCACCACCAGTGGTGGCCCACGGACCACTTGTGGCGTTTGTCGACAACCACCGCACCAGCATCAAGGGCTTCGTGCCTTGCAGGTGGTACTGACGTGCATGCCAGCAGGCAGACCCACAAGAAGGATCCCGTATACCTTCGTGGTCACACGGTACATACATAGAGTTCGGGGCGTGATAAATCCGACTCACAACACCAACAGAACGATTCGCACGGGACAGAGAGTGGCCCGTGCGAGGTCTACGGTACGTATCTAAATGAGGGGCAGAGTTCCCGAGCCGACTAACAGGCGGTTGCTGTCACAGACTCCTCAGCATGCAGTCTAGTTGGGTACGGTCAGGTCCACAGGACCAACAAGGCTCGTATTCAGAAGGCAGTGCTGCAGCCGCCTGCCGTGTAAGATGATGCTGTGGCTTCCTTGCTGATTCTTGGCCCTCCTCCTAGGAGGGGCCAAGAACGAACAGTGAGGGACGGTTTTAACTCCCGCCGTACCGTGTAGAGAGGAGGCGGGCCACGTGCGCCCCCTGGGCGCTTCCCCGCTTGCGGCGGTGCCTTACAACTGTAGCTGCCCTGCACCGGTACATAATCTGTGACATCAATACAGTACAGATTGGCCCCCAAAACCTCCTTCACCAACAGGTCTATTATTAATATTGCATACAAATACGATAAAAAGGTAAGTTTAAGGAAAATTCTGGAAATAATATAACGAATATAAATTTGTAAGCACCCGTTGTGACGATTTGGGTTAAGACCCACAGACGAGGACCCACGAGGGACCATGATCAAGGCGCGCTGAACGCGCGCCGAACACCGGAATCCCCTCTTTCCTTTCTTCCCTAGATTAGAAAGAAATGAATCATTTTATTCTCAGGAAAAAGGGAAAGAAAAAAGGGATTTGACTGTTCGGCGCGTGTTCAGTGCGTTTTAATGGCGGTCCATCATCGATCATGGCACAAACCGTCACATATTGTAAGCTGATGTGGATGTTTATTTAGTCTCCATAATTTAGCCGTAATTACAACTTACTGTTTTCCTTCACAAAGAATCCGCGCGGAATGAAGCCTGGTCGGCTTGAGTCCAGCCCTTCGCTAACCAAGGTTGCCGGCTGAGGGTACGCAAAAGCTGCTTGAGGATAAATACGTCTGGTATTCCCCAGCTCAATTTGCTGCTGTCAACAACCGCGTCCCACCACACACACACACCACTCACAAACCCACCCAACGGGTCATCGAACATCCACAATGTCTCGAAGCGAAGGAGCTACGATCAGTGCAGCTCCACGAGCTTTGTTTCATTCAGTCGGGACCTTCATCTTTATTTACACCATCATCCTGCTCTGCAGCGACATCCCGGTCCCCGAGTACAAGACAGCCGTCGTCCTTCTGCTTGTCAGCGTAAGTCCACTCTCCCGCCTCGCCCTTGCCTCCCTTTTCTTCCAGCGCACATGCAAGTTGCTCCA